ATAATGAAATATATTTGAGGAACAAAGTCTTCCAGCTTTTAACAGCATTTCCTAGCAAAATATGCCAAGAAACAAAAAGACGAAGTTTAAGCTCAGATGGTTATTATTATTTTTGGAGTGTTCATAGCTTTCATTGTGTTAAAGAAAATCCAGAATTATTCATACTTAGATGAAACCCACTCAGATGAGTAAGGTTTAAATTAGACTGGGTTTCCTGGGCTTAAATAGGTCTGTTCTACAACTCTGGAATGAATTCTAACTTGAAACTACAGTTATATCTATACCAGAAACCTGTAGACAGTATGATGGCAAAGATTCTGATGCTTTCTTTCATTACAGCAGTTGGCTACTGTTTACCACAACAACATCCTAAAATTTTCTGTCTGGCCTTCCTAACAAGCCTTTTGTCAGTTTAGGATCCCAAAAAGGAATATTTTTTTATTTGCTTATTAATTTGATTTCCACAGTGGAAAATGACCCAACTCATAATGACAAATATTTATGAGCTTGACTGTTCAGTAGTGAAGATAACTTCCCATTTTATGCAGTAAAAGGAATTATAACCTGGTGTTTTCAGAAGCAAACAGAGAAAGTAGAGAAAATATTTATGTACCATCCAGCAACACTGATGTATATCTGAGTTCTTTGTACTGTCTGTATTTGCTTTGCAAAATAATATGTAAGGGAGATGTAAAATGGAGAATATCAATGTGTCAAGTATGAAAAGTAAGTTTATGACAGGCTGGCTGTCCCATACAAAAGTTTTCCACTACAGAAATAAAAAATATCTTTAATATTGCTTTGTAAGAAAAAAAAACACACACTGATTTTCAAAGCAATAAGTTTAAAATCGTTTAGACAATTTACAAATGCACAGGACTTGATTTTTTTAGAGTTACAATTCAATATTGTTTTAAATGCCTGAGTAGATTTAAGATACACTACTTGATTTTAGAAATTTGAAGTTTTGTGTACATATACAGTAGTGTGCAAAAGTTTTAGGCAGGTGTGAAAAATGCTGTAAAGTAAGAATGCTTTCAAATATATATATATTGTAATTGTTTATGTTTATCAATTTACAAGATGCAAAGTGAGCGAACAGAAGAAAAACCCAAATCAAATTAATATTTGGTGTGACCACCCTTTGCTTTCACAACAGCATCAATTCTTCTAGGTACATTTGCACATGGTTTTTGAAGGAACTCGACAGGTAGGTTGTTCCAAACATTTTGGAAGACTAAGAACAGATCTCCTGTGGATGTAGGCTGCCTCAGATCCTTCTGTCTCTTCATGTAATCCCAGACAGACTCGATGATATTGAGATCAGGGCT